ACCTGGGTCTGTGTTTCATTGCCTTAAGGTATCCACATCCCCATAACTACCAAGCTGCTCCCCTCTCAGAGACCCAGTCTGACTCCCTGGCTGCCTCTTACAGTCTTCCTACATCTGGAGGCATCTTCTAGTTCCCAGGCACTGGTCACCATGTGCTTCAGGCTTCTAGGCCTCTTTGGTACCTTGCCTACACCATGGGGATCTCTGGCTGTCAACACATATTTCCAAGTGTCCCTTGATGAGCAGCTGGGCTGTCCTATAGCTGTCTGCTCCCATGGGTTTTTAAAAAATTATTCTCATTCTGTTGCCTAGATTGGAGTACAGTGGCACAGTCATGGCTCACTACAGCCTTGACCTCCTGGGCTCAAGAGATCCTCCCGCGTTGGCCTCTCAAAGTGCTAGGATTACAGGTGTGAGCCACCACACCCAGCCTTTCTGCTCCCATCTCAAAACCCTCAGGATATCTCTTGGCTTTTCTTTCTCCTTTTATCCACTGCCAGGTTTGCCCCTCCAAGCTTTTGGCCTGAGAGAACACTGACATTCTGGGCCCCAGCAACTCTGCATATAAGTCTGTCCCAGCGCTTCTGTTACAAGAGACACTTTATTAGATGGCTTTTCTGCCACAGTCAAAGAAGCATTGATTAGCACATGAAGACGAAAAAGACTAGATGGAGATGAGTTATGACAGCTAACCTCAGCTCTGGATAAACAGAGTCAGGCATTTGCTACTTTATAAAATTATTATTTGAATAAGTTGGGTGAGTTGAGTTGGGAAAAGTATATGCCAAGGCAATTGGTTAACAGAAAACTTGAAACAGCCATCACAGCTAGTGATAAAAAAGGTTTACTTAGATCAGTGAATTCTTTTCTTTTCTTTTTTTTGCATCGGGGTCTCACTCTGTCCACCAGGCTGGAGGGCAGTGGCATGATCATGACTCATTACAACCTCAACTTCCTGGGCTCAGGCAATTCTTCTGCCTTAGCCTCCTGAGTAGCTGGGATTACAGGCAGGTGCCACCACACCCGGCTGATTTTTTTTTATTTTTTGTAGAGATGAAGTCTCACTATGTTGCCCAGGCTGGTCTTGAACTCCTGGCTCAAGTAATCTTCTCACCTTGGGCTCCCAAAGTGCTGAGATTACAGGCATGAGCCACTGTGCCTGGCTGTAATTGTGACTTCCATTATCTCTGTGACTCTTGACCTAACACAATGTTGAAGAACATTTTTTTTCAAGTATCATATCAAGTCTTTCCATCGTCTGGCTGTGTCTTGTTTTGGAATTATGATTCCTCATCATAAAGTACTAAAAAGGTCTTCATCTAGTTCTCAGTGATAGAGTTACCAAGAAAAGTCATTCCCACTACAGTTCAGAATCCCGGCAGCTCAGATCAAGTATCAACTGAGTCATCTCAATATAGCTTTAACATCCTGTTACAGGTTACCACAAAATGACAGGGCTTTAAAGAATGGCAGTGCTAAATATTTTAGATTTATCTAAAAAATATTAAGAAATTAAAGCAGGCAGATATCCTTATCCTTATTTTGCAAATTCAAGGATTTTCTGAAAAGGACTCAATGTGTCAGCTGAGGTTGCAGAATAAAACACTGGTTTCCAGATAATCTCCTTGTATGACATTCCACCATGTGCAGACCATTTTAATGGAAACATAACTTTCCTTTCTTTTCCTTTCCTGCCCTTCCCTTCCCTCCCCTTCCTTTCTCCTTCTTTTCCCCTTCCTTTCCCCTTCCTTCTATTCTTCTTTCTTTGTTTTTAAATTACTGACAAGGTCTCACTATGCTGCCCAGGCTGGTCTTAAGCTCCTGGCCTCAAGCGATCCTCCCTCCTTGGCCTCCCAAAGAAGATTACAGGCATGAGCCACAGCACTCAGCCAAAATTTTTAATTCAACTTTTTGGTAAAAAACCTTCCTTATAACTTGTGACAGAGTCAGCAAGGACCGGTATCACTTTGTCATATTTATGGCACTATTTGTTTTCTTGGAACAGGGTAAATATGCAGAGTTTACACATTCGGAGAAGACAGGACTTGGGCAAGTCTGACCTGGATAGATAACAGATAACAGCCTCTGACTATAAGTCACAGTAGGTAATAAAAATTATTATGATTTGAGGGCACATGGAGTGAGTGTACTCTATACAAATGAAAATTTCCATTACTTCCCCCCCAAACAATTCTTATTTTACAAAACACCCCTTTCCTGAATAACAATTCTTTTAGAGCTGGACACTCATAATCGAAACAATTGCTCTAGATGCAGTCTTTGGAAGGTGCGGCACCAGTTCCTTGACCAGAAGGTGGGTCCTCACACTAAAAGATTACATCAGCCACTTTGACCAGGTTATTCTCACTCTTGAAGAAAGAAAAACAGTTGTGCTGTGTTGTGGCAACCGCTGCAATGTTGGTACATAGTTTAACTTCTTAGCTTCAAAGTCATCACATGACTCATTCTAGGTTTAAGTATTTGCAACTCATGAGCACTTGAAATAGAATCTCTTATATCAACTTGCTTTTCTTAATAAATTGTATTTTAGACATATAAATAATAAAATGTATTTTAAAAATAGATTTATCAAAGTGCCAGAAATTATTTTGGAAGGATGTGCTAGAAGAGAGACTTGATAATCTCTCATTTCTAAATTCACGGTGGTACCTTCAATAATGGCCTCCAAATAAAACTTATGCAATCTAAAACTCACCAATTCCTTTTATTAATTTTGGTAGAATAAACCCTCTGATTCAGAATCAATCAATAATATCAAAATAAGGAACAATAAGAAGATATTAAACGAAAGGCAACTCTGGTAGGTAGGAAGTGTAACTTTCTCAGGAATGTTCTGGGGGCCATCTAAACCTAAGAGTAGAGGCCAGGCATGGTAGTTCATGCCTGTAATCTAAGCACTTAGGGAGGCTGAGGTGGGAGGATCACTTGAGCCCAGGAGTTTAAGACCAGCCTATGCAGCATAATGAGACATCTCTACAAAAAATCGAAATGTTAGCTGGTGGTGCATGCCTGTAGTCCCAGCTACTCAGGAGGCTGAGGCAGAAGCATTGCCTGAGCCCAGAAGGTCAAGGCTGCAGTGAGCTGTGATGGTGCCACTGCACTCCAGCCTGGGTGACAGAGTGAGACTCCAATTCAAAAGATAAAAAATAAAAATAAAAAAACCTAAGAATGGCTTTAAAATTCTAAAATTATAATCTTACATTGATAGCACTGTCTAGCACATAATAAATGCTCAAGAAATAATGATTGAATATTAATTTGAAGGATCTGAGGTCCAGAGAGGTTGATTCACTTTCCAAAACCATCACAGCTCTAGTTATTGGCAGAGTTGTATCTAGAGCTTAGGATTCCTGATCTCAAGCCCACTTTGCCCAAAGGCTCTTTCTTTTCTTAGGTTCCTCATGTTCTTAGGCTTCTAGAGACTGAAGAAGTCCGAGAGCAGTGGCTCATGCCTATAATCCCAGTATTTTGGGAGGCTGAGGTGAGAGGATTACCTGAGCCCATGGGTTTGAGACCAGCCTGGGCAACTTGGTAAGACCTCATCTCTACAATAAATCAAAAAAATTAGCCGGGCGTCGTGGCGCATACCTGTAGTTCCAGCTACTTGGAAGGCTGAGGCTGAAGGATCGCCTGAGGTCAGCAGGTTGAGGTTGTGGTGGCCGTGAGCGTGCCACTGCACTCTAGCCTGAGTGACAGAGTGAGACTCCAACTCAAAAAAAAAAAAAAAAAAAAAAAGACTGAAGAAACCTGTGGCCAGGCGCTCAGAGCAATCTGCAGGTTCCCGTAGCTACTCAAAACATGAACACACAGGCATTCTTGTGTCAGGTCATCTGACAGTGGAGACCTGAAATCAACTTGACCTTTCTCTAGAAAATCACCTTTATAGTAATGTTTCTTTAATCTGAAATGTGTAATTAATCAGGGCAGAAAAAGTATCGATATAAGAGAAGCTAATTGGAATACCTTACCTTTGCATGGTTCTTCACTGTTTGTTTGCTTTTGAGTCAAGGTCTCACTCTGTTGCCCAGGCGGGAGTGCAGTGGTACAATCACAGCTCACTGCAGCCTTGACCTCCTGGGCTCAGGCGACCCTTCCACCTCAGCCTCCCAAGTAGCTGGGACTACAGGTGCATACCATCATGCCCAGTTGATTTTTTGATTTTTTTTGTTGAGAGAAGGTCTCACTGTGTTGCCCAGGCTGGTCTTGAACTCATGGACTCAAGCAGTCCTCCTGCCTTGGCTTCCCAAAGTGCTGGGATTACAGCCGTGAGTCACTGTGCCTGGCCTCTTCACTGTTTGTAAAGTGCTGCCTGTATCGTCTTGCATTTCTGAGTAAGTATCAGTGAACTGACTTGCCAGATGTTAGCCTGCTGTTGGTAAATGAAGTCTCAAGAGTGTGGCCATTGTGAGGGGGGAAGGTCCAGAACCTACTAAGGATGCCAGCGGCCTGGGCTCCCCTTTGGCTTGGTGGGAGAAGCGGTGGGCAGATGAGGAGGTGGTGTGTCGGCAGAGGGACTGGGCAGGGGCAAGGCTACCTGCTCCGCCGCTGTTTACCTACGTCCCAGACTAGCCCTGCTCGTGAGCTCAGCACCTCCATCGTTTATTTGAACAGGAAGTGGCAGAGTGTCTACTTGACCTCAGACACCACACACTCAGGTTTTAAAAGTACTGAATTATGATGCCAGCTTGATTTCACAGGCTTCCTGGTGAGCTCAAAGCACCAACAGGAGAAACCCTAAACAAAGATTAACCCTTTCATCCCAGAAGGGTTTAAAGAACGCCTTGACCACGGTGAGCCATGAATGCACCACTGCGCTCCAGCCTGGGTGACGGGGTGAGACCCTGGCTCAAAAACGTGAGATAAAAATAAATAACCACCTCGAGCCGACTGTAATCCTAGGTGTGTTGCCACGGGGTGCCCAGCCCCCGCCCCCGCCTCATGTCCCGTGTGCTTGGGCAAACGTCAGCCATGGACATTACCTGCCTTGGCTGGTTGACCTTTGCTCCTGAAGACAACAGTAACCGAATGACATCCAAATAGCCGCCTTGGGCAGCTAGGAAGAGGGCAGTGGCTCCGTCCTAAGAGAGAACAAATGAAAAGCGTTAAAAAAGCATCTTTCACATTTATTTTAAAATAGATTAAAAATACATATATTTAGTATAATTTTCCATTTCCATCCCCTTTTAGGTTTCCACATTTTTGTCAATTAAGATCTAAGTGTTAGATAAACAAGCAAATCCTCTGAACCTAATTTTATGCTTTCATGAATTGGGAGTGAAAGGTCCTCTTCATGAGGACCCTTTGCTCTTTCTTGTTCTTTTCTCCTCGTCCCCTGCAACATGAAGTGTCTGCAAGCACTGAAACATAAGATGCTTGGCTGGGCATGGTGGCTCATGCCTGTAATCCCAGCACTTTAGGAGGCCAAGGTGGGAGGATCACTTGAGGCCAGGAGTTTGATTCTCACCTGGGCAACACAGCAAGACCCCATCTTTACAAAAAATTAAACACACACACACACACACACAACTTTCAGAAAAATTGCCCTAGAAAGCTCTCCACAAAGTTGTTTCCTGTCAGCCCAGCAGATGTCAACAACACCTATATATACACAGACAGCAGTCCTGCGTGAAGCCCACAGCAAGTGCTTTCTTTGCAATGTGCTTTTGTTGTCTGTGTGTCTATGTCCCCTGGGCATTTCTTTGTTCTTGTAAACATGTCATTCTCTGTTACCCACTGAGAGCATGTCTTCTCCCGGATACTCACTGCCGACAAATAGCAGGCACAGCACAGAGTGAGCCTTCCTGACCACAGTGGAAAACCTAAGCACACTCCCAAGGAAAACACCTAACAAACCCAGCTAATGACCCCGCCTCCCAATGAGAACACTAACCATAAGCTAAAATACAAAACACCTTGCAAGTCCAACCAGGTAGGTCACGTGGAGGGTTCCTGATTTCCAGGGGTTGGCAGCTGAGCTGCCAGACTGCCCTCAAGGCAATCATTAAAAAATTAATGAGCCCATACAGATTTTTAAGCAGACTTTTGATATGGGGATAACATTTTCAGAAAGTCTACTATACCTTCAGTTGCTGATAACTGTCAGGAATTTCCTAAGATACGAGGTCCAACAATTAAGTTTGTGAACTCATCCTAGAAAAGTGTTACATACCTCATCACTGAATATCACTACAGTCAAGTCATCTATTTTTTTTTTTTTTTTGAGTCAGAGTCTCACTCTGTCACCCAGACTGGAGTGCAGTGGCACACTCACGGCCACTGCAGCCTTGACCTGCTGGGCTCAGGCAGTCCTTCCGCCTCAGCCTTCAAAGTAGCTGGAACCTCAGGCACACGCTACCGTGCCTGGCTAATTTTTTATTTATTGTAGAGATGACGTCTTGCCGAGTTGCCCAGGCTGGTACCATCATATTTGAAATACTTCCCTTGGGAAGCTATGCACCAATGCCAGCGTCTAGTCCACCCATCAAAGCAATTTTGGAACTCTTACTGAATGGCCATCAGAGCTGTCATCGTATTACCCTTTGATACCCTGAATGTCATCAAAATGTATTCCTTTCAATATTTTCTTCATCTTGGGGTAAAGAAAAAAGTCACTGGGTCCAGATTAGTGAGTAAGTAGGGTGTTCCAATATAGTTATCTGTATAGTGCTGCAATGTCAGCACACAGTGGCAAGTTTGCAAACTTAATTGTCAGACCTCAACAAATAACGATGATGATTCAGATGGCCATTCCAGAAAAAGTGGTCCAAAATTGCTTTGACGGGTGGAGTAGGCCCTGGCGTCAGTGCATAGTTTCCCGAGGGGAGTACTTTGAAGGTGACCGAGTGGTATTCAACAATGAAGTACGTAGCACTTTTTCTTTTTTTTTTAAACTATACAGAAGTTTAATTGTTTAACTTTACTTTACTCTTTCAAAACATTTATTCAGCATTGACCATGCAATGTGTATTCATAAAGTCAAGAGTTTAGAGACATACATACCAGGAATTCTGTTGAGTATCACCCAGAAATGTTCATCAGGGCTGTAGGTGTCCTTGGACTTTTTCTAGGATTGTTCGTGAAGCTAATTGTTGGATCTCGTAGACTACCCATGCATTGACTTTTCACACCCATCTGTCTATATTTTAATGACTTTTAACGGAGCATTTAGATTGTTTGGCTAAGGTCAAAGGTCTTAACATAAAATGGAAGTTACTGATGCATGAAATTTCTTGAGTCACCTAGTAACAGAGAGAAATTTACTATGGGCAGGGGCTCCTTTCAAACTACATTTGTAAGATTATGTCCTATCCCAATGAGCTTATGGAAGAATACTATCTAATGGGTACAGATTCTATACTCACAGTCAATCTGGACTGCTATCAGAGGTAATGTTATGAAAATCACAATCCATTTTCTTTTTCCAAAACTTTGGCGCTCTCTCTCTCTCTCCCCTCCCTCCCCCACGCCCTCCCTCCCTCCCTCTCCCTCTCTCTCCCTCCCTCAGTCTCTCTCTCTTTCTCTCTCTCTCTCTCTCTCACATACACACACACACACACACACACACATTCATACACACTCTCAGATATACTTCACCTATATGTAGCCAAGGAAATATCCAAAGTTTTAGACTGTGTTTCTTAGACTTGGTGACATCTCAGAACCACCTGTTGCCCAAGTTGCACCTGTGGATTCCAGTTTGGTTGGGATGAGCCAGGCCTGGAAATTGTGTTTTCCAGATTATGGGGTGGACACGCTGCCTACTGTGCTAAGGAGGCAGGTGAATTGGTCTTTTTAAAGCTCCCCAGTTGATTCTAAGGGCAGAGTTGAGAATCACTCCTTTAGATCATTATTAAGCAGTTCACTCAATCTGCTGGCCATGCTGCAGGCTCAAAAAGTGTCATAGATTTTTTTTTTTAGATGAGAAAATATAGTTTATTTAAAAAATAAATTAGGGAAAGAGAGAGAAAGAAAGAGGAACCTCACCTCTCCAAGGTAGAGAAGGGGGCCACAGCCATAGCTCAAAGAGCACATGGCCACACTAGAGTCTAGTAAGGTAATGCAGAAGGTAAGGATGGTTGCTCTGAACTTCAAAGAGGTCTAGGATTTGTCAGAGCTAACCATGTAAACTCTGGAGCAGGTGTTCAAGTGGAAAAGTTTACACCCACACAGCTCATTACACAACTATAAAAGGACAGTGCCCTAGGCATAAGGGCTAAATGTCTAGTTGTCGGACACCCTAAAATATGGTTCCTAGATCACTGGGAGGAAGAATTCTTTCACCCTTCACCACGAGACTCTGTCAAGTCAATTCAGATTCCCAGATTTTTTTTCCCTACAGAACTGGAATAACGATTGCCATAAATCCTATGGCATTACAGTGACAATTAAAAGAGCCCTTGGGTAATGTGCTAATTGCCAATTAGCTGCAATAGACCCACGCTAGCAGTGGCTGCCTTTCAAGGTCACGGGTGTGCTTGTACGTCACAGGTCTTCATCCAGCCTACCTCACTTTTCTTCCAAATACCTTGATTTCTCCTCTTTGTGCCCTTCCTCACAAATAACTCCACAACAGGAGAATAGATCTTGGTTTTCAGCAAGCCCATCTGCTGCCTTTGGACCGGTCATATGACTGGGTGACTGTGATTTGCCTCTGGGCTGTGTGGTTTGTCACGGTATGAATAAGTATCACATGGATTTTGAAAGTCTGAACTGCATAGGTTCATGAAATGTTGCATATGTACAAGGGAGAACAGCTGGGTGTGGAGATTCATGCCTGTGATCCCAGCACTTTGGAAAGTGGAAGCAAGAGGATTGTCTGAGCCCAGGGGTTTGAGACCAGCCCGGGCAACTTCGTGAGACCTTGCCTCGATAATAAATAAAAAAAAAATTAGCTGAGTCTGAGTGACAGAATGAGACTCTGGCTCAAAAATAAAAAGGTGAGGAGAACAAAGGCAGGTAAATAAGATACATGATTTCCATCTAGAAAAAGCTCAATACATCAAGCTTTTTCCCTTGATGTCTCAGGTTAAAGTCCTACAGTCGAATATATATATAAATCTCATCCTCCCAAGTAGCTGGGATTACAGGCATATGCCACCACATCCGGCTAACTTTTTTCATTTTTGTAGAGGTGAGGTCTTGCGAAGTTGCACAGGTTAGTCTCAAACTCCTGAGCTCAAGTGATCCTCCAGTCTTGACCTTCCAAAGTACTGGGATTATAGGTGTGAGCCACAGTGTCTGGCCCATTAAACGCTTGAAGTTGGTACCTGAATTTAGACTGCAGTGTTATGTGTGATGAGGAATGAACAAGTGTCCACCTAACATCCCCTTGAAATGCACTCACATAAAGTTGATCGTGGATGTTGGCTCCATGCTTCAGCAAGGTCTCCACCACCTGCATGTGCCCGTACTGACTGGCAGCCAACAGGGCGGTGCCCCCGTCCTATGGAAGTGCAAAGTATACATGCATTAGAGACAGTGCAGTGGCGTCTTTTACCACGCAGATGCACCTCTCATAGATAGAACTTTGGAAGATAATTCTCCCACTGATAATAGCAAACTAATTTCCCCACTTTTATTCTTTTACTTTTTATAATCATGACAGAGCTCATCTCATCTTAAGGACATGATTATGTTGTACACTTGGATGACTTGCTAGAGACATACTACAGTTATTTGACTGAGTTATTGTGAGGGTTTTTTTGAGTTGGGGTCTCACTCTGTCCCCAGGCTAAAGTGCAATGGCATGATCATGGCTCATGGCAGCCTTGACCTCCTGGGCTCAGGAGATCCTCCCGCCTCAGCCTCCCAAGTAGCTGGGACTACAGGTGCACCTACCACGCCTGGTGATTTTTTTGAATTTTTTGTAGAGATGAGGTCTCACTACATTGCTCAGGCTGGTCATGAACTCCCAGACTCAAGCAATCCTTTCACCTCAGCCTCCCAAAGTGCTGGGATTACAGGCGTGAGCCACTGTGCCTGGCCTTATTGTGAGTTAATTTAGAAAATGTCTATGCCAAATGCAAAATCATCTTTTTGTCTCTCACTATGGGAAACACCGAACAGAGAGTCTGTACCAAGTCTTGTCAGTTCTTGGAATCACCTGAAAGGCCTCTTATGGCTTCTGGTCAGAGACCCTCTTGGCAAACATTGGCTTCTTCCTGTGCTTCAACTGAGTTGTAGGCCACTGAGATTAAGGTCCTTTCACAGGGTGACTCTCTGGGGCCATTGCCCTCATGGGACAAGATCTGCATCCATTAAAAGAGCGGATAACAACGGCATGTTCCATGTGCCTCTCCTGTGCTACTTAGCATCTTTCTCCAAACATGTGCCAATTTGTCCAGGTCTCTTCTTAAGTGTGGTCCTTAAAACTAAGCAGAGCACCACAAAGTAGATGTGCTACGATGTGGACTCAGACATTCCTTTGTTCCATCTCCTCGGCTTCTGCCTCTGCAGCCTAAATTAGAATTTGCTTTTATGCCCACCACCTCACATGACTGGTTCACTGAATTTGCGGTCAACTGAAACCCTTTATGGTTTTTCTCAGGTGCTGCAGCAAAGGCGTTATCTTCTCCCATCTAGGATCATTGTTTGTTTGGCTCTGTGAAATGATACGTGGACATTTGCGCTGATTACAAATAATTCAGGAACATGTCATCTGGTCCTAAATTATGACTCATGAATATAAGATAGTGTGGGTTCTAAATTTGGGCATAAGGTGTTTGTCTGAAATGCCCGCTCTTAGAGCTCTACCCTCAGAAGCTCTGATCCGATTGGTTTGAGGTAAGGCCCAGAAAGATGCCTTTTGACCAGTCATGTGGGGTGTCTGTGATAATGAAGGTTGCAGGTGGGCTTGCCTGGAGAAACACTGCTATAAGAGCTCTTGCATTCACAGGCATGGGGCAGGGGATGCCTGTGACTGGGTAGGGATTTTCCTAGGGACAGGCTGTGTGGTGAGGGAGGGTGCTTAAACTGGGCTTTGAAGGGTGGAGAATGGAGAGGAGACAGGCTGAGGGCTGAGGCTGGTGGTAGGTGAGGAGATATCCAGAAATTGCTTAATAGCAGCAATGAGTATTCTAGGTCTTGTCCTGTTAATTTTCTCATCTCTTTGCCCAATGAGGTAACAGAACATATAAACTACCATGATTATCATAGAAAAACGGGTATCTTTTATTCTTAAAAACACATTTTGGTCTGACTGCGGTGGTTTACGCCTGTAATCCCAGCACTTTGGGAGGCTAAAATGAGAGGATTGTTTGAGCCCAGGAGTTTAAGACCAGCCTGCACAATATAGCGAGACTTTGTGTCTACAAAAAGTCAAAAAATTAGCAGGGTGTGGTGGGGCGTGCGTCTAGTCCCACCTACTTGGGAGGCTGAGGCAGAAGGATTGCCTGAGCCCAGGATTTCAAGACTATGGTAAGCCGTGAGCCACTGCACTCCAGCTTGAGTGACAGAGTGAGACCCCAACTCAAATACACGCACACACAGACACACACACATTTTGGGGGCATATAAATTTACTAACAATGGAAACAATTGTTGAAACAAAGTGTTGATGACAGGATCATATTAAAACTCAAATCCAGCCGGGCTCGGTGGCTCAGCCTATAATCCCGTGCCTTTGCGAGGCTGAGGAGAGTGGATTGCCTGAGCCTGAGGGTTCGAGACCCACCTGGGCAGGTGAGACCTCATCTCTACAATAAATCAAAAAATCAGCCGGGCGTGGTAGCGTGCACCTGTAATTCCGGCTACTCGGAAGCCTGAGGCAGAAGGATCACCGGAGCCCAGCAGGCGAGGCTGCGGTGGCCGGGAGCGGCCACTGCACTCCAGTCTCGGCGACAGAGTGAGACTCCAACTCAATAAATAAATAAATAAATAAATAAAACTCAAATCCTCTTGACACTCTTTTTTCCACGGAAAGTTCTTAGACACCTGCAGTTGACTTAATGGAGACCTATGGAATTCCTCATCCAGGACCCCGTGTTCCATGGATTTCTGGGACAGCACAAACTGGCACTCGTACAGAGGCTTTAAGCCAGTATTAACTTGTTAAACAAGAATAATGAAACAGTCCCATGGTCATACAAGATCATTTTGACTTAGTTCAGAGTTGAGATTTTGGTTCCTAGAACTTCACTTTCTATTTTTAGTTGTGTCTATCACTTCAAAAAAATTTGTAAAATTTATTAGCATATGTGATCAAGAATTTAGCAAAGAACAAGGATAAAGTTACTATCTGAAAACTAAGTTGCAGTACTTTTGGTAACACTGCAAACTAAATCGAACTATAAAAATGTTTACTTTGAAACATGGTATTGTGAAACCAAAGTTCTCTTTATAAAAGCTGCAAAATGAGAATTTTTTTGCTAATGAGTCAGACTTCACAGAGTTGTATCACTTTTATAAGGAAAAATAAAATAATAATATAAAAACATAAGTTTTGTATTGCTGTGAATTATATATGCTATGTTTGGCAACATGTACAAAGTTCAACAGCAGGCTTCAGAAGAGATAGAAATCCTATATAAAATCCAGATCTGCCTAACAGCATTTCAACAGAAAAAAAAAAACAAAACTCATTGGAAACTCCCTTGACATCTAAATATCACATACAAAGGACCAAGAAAACCTAAAAGTTTCCAAGCTGGGAGAATTTTCAGAAATTTTACAATTATAATTAGGTTAGAAATGACCTGACAGTTATAAAAATCTCCTACTCTAAAACACTATCCTGTAAAATCATATTGTGGACTGGGCATGGTGGCTCACATCTGTAATCCTAGCATTTTGGGAGGCCATAGTAGGAGGATTGCTTGAGCTCAGGAGTTCAACATAATGAGACTTTGTTCCCCCCCCCCCCCAAATTAGCTGGTTGTGGTAGCACGTGCCTGTAGTTCCAGCTAAAAAACATTACATTTTTACTCTGGAAAATTTTATGGGAAATTACTTAGATGCTACCTTTCTACTCTGGGATACTAAGTTTTGTAACCAGAAGGGATAATTAGCAGGTGACTTTCTAACTTTCCCTGTTTCCTTGTGCTTTTTCTGCTTCAAGATTAATACCAAGACGGTGATAGGGATTGTTGGAAGTATTAATCTAATCCTAGTGGATGTGAGAGATTCCCAAAGAGGGCACTTCGATGGGCAGCTTACTTTCATGAGCTATCCTCACTGAGAGATATAATACATAATTACAATTTATATAATGGGGCGAGTCATTTGGTACTTCCTTTAAAGAGGTTACTGATTTTCATTGCTGACATACAGATAAGAAAACTGAGACTGAAGAAGAATCAATTTTGTGTTCACTATATATATATATATATATATATATTTTTTTTTTTTTTTTTGAGTGCAGGTCTCACTCTGTAAGGCAGAGTGCAGTGGCACCATCTTGGTTCACCACAGCCTTGACTCCCTGGCTCAGGTGATCCTTCTGCCTCAGCCTCCCCAAGTAGCTGAGACTAACAGATGTGTGTGCCAAATTGCCAGGCTAATTTTTGCTTTTTCTGTAGAGATGAGGACTCACTATACTGCCTAGGCTGGTCTCGAACTCCTGGCTCAAGCAATCTTCCCACCTTGGCCTCCCAAAATGCTGGGATTATAGGCATGAGATACCATGATCAGCCTAGAAATGTAATGTTTTGGATCATATCTCTAGAACTACCCTGAACCGTTACAAGAAACCTTGTGAAATCCACTTCCTTAGACTTGAGAAGCACCAGTTTATCCTACAGTTGAGGAAAAAAGTAACACTCATGACTGCTGAACCTCTTCAGCAGGGTATGAGATCAAGAAGGTTCTCTTACTTTGGTCCTAAATTCAGTGGATGCTCCGAATCCAAAGAGAAATCTTACGACATCGTTATGGCCTTGTTGGGCAGCAAAGAACAGGGCAGTTGTACCTGACTGGGAGAGAGAGAGAGAGAGAGAGAGAGAGAGAGAGACTGGTCATATTACATTCGACTTGTACATTTGCAAAGAAAACAAAATAGTATCTTTGCATACAAACCTTCTATCCCAGGAAGGAGTTACATTTGAACTGATTCTATTCCTTCCTTCCTTTCTTTCTTTCTTTCTTTTTTTGAGTCAGAGTCTCACTCTGTTGCCCAGGCTGGAGTGCAGTGGCACAATCATGGTTCACCACAGCCTCGACCTCCTTGGCTCAGGGGATCCTTTGACCTCAGCTTCCTTAGTAATTGGGACTACAGATGCATGCCACAACACCCAGATACTTTTTTTTATTGTTTGTAGAGACAAGGTCTCACTATGTTGCCCAGGCTGGTCTCAAACTCCTGGGATCAAGCAATCCTCCTGCCTCAGCTTCCCAAAGTGCTGGGATTATAGCTATGAGCCACTGCATCCAACTGATTCTATTTCTTTCTCAGAGAAGTGACAAAATGAAAGAAAAACTTTATTCTTGGTGTAGTGGAATAAACGGTGGCTCCCCAAAAGATATGTCTCCATCCTAATTCCTGGAACTTGTGAATATTACCTTATATGGCAAAATAAGTGATTGAGGATTTCGAAAGGAGGGCCTTATCCTGGGTCATTTGGGGGGACCCAAGTCTAATGAGAAGTGTCCTTTTAAGAGTGAGGCAGGCCGGGTGCAGTGGCTCAGCCTGTCAACCCAGCACTTTGGGAGGCTGAGGCGAGAGAATTGCCTGAGCTTGGCAATTCGAGACCAGCCTGGTGAGACCATGTCTCTACAATAAATCACACACAAAAAACTACCCGGGTATGGTGGTGTGCGTCTGTAGTTCCAGCTACTTGGAAGGCTGAGGTGGAAGGATCGCCTGAATCCAGTGGGTCGAGGCTGCGGTGGCCATGAGCGTGCTGCTGCACTCCAGCCTGGGCAACAAGAGTGAGACTCCAACTCAAAAAAAAAAAAGAAAATAGTGAGGCAACGCAACATCCACAATAGTTCAAACATGGAAGCAACAAAAGTGTCTACCTATTAATGAATGGATAAGCAAAGTGTGGTATAGTCATACAATGAAATATTATTTAGTTTCAAAAAGGAAGGACAGATTGGACCACATAGTGAGACCCTGTCTTTACAAAATGAAAAAAAAAAAAAATTAGCTGGGTATGCTGGCATGCACCTGTAATCCCAGGTACTTACAGGGGCTGAGGCGAGAAGTTCACCTGAGCCCAGGATTTGAGGCTGTGGTGAGCTGTGATTGTGTCATTGTACTCCGACCTAGGTGATAGAGTGAGACCCTGAGTCAAGGAAAAAAAAAAGGAAGGCAATTCTGCCATTTGCTACAACAAGGATAAACCTTGATGACATTATGCTAAGTGAAATACGCCAGTCACAAAAGGGCAAATACTGTATGATTCTACTGTGGTATCTGAAGTAGTCAAATTCATAGACCCAGAAAGTAGGATGATGGTTGCCAGGGGGTAGGAGAGGGGAGAATGAGAAGTTATTTAATGGATACAGAATTTTAATTTTAAAAGATGAAAAGAGTTCTAGAGATGGATGGTGATGATGGTTGCACCACATTATGAATGTGTTTAATATCACTGGACTGTACATTTAAAATGGTTAAGATGGTATTTTACTACAATAAAAAAATAATAAAGGCTGAGCATGGTGGCTCACTCCTATAATCCCAGCACTCTGAGAGGTCAAGGCAGGAGGTTTGCTTGAGCCCAGGAGTTTGAGACCAACCTAGGCAACATAGTGAGACCCCATCTCTATCAAAAATGAAGATTAAAAATTAGCAGGGCATGGTGGCATGCGCCTATAGTCCCAGCTCTGAGACAGAAGAATTGCCTGAGCCCAGGAGGTCAAGGCTGCAGTGAGCTATAATGGTGCCACTGCATTCCAGCCTGGGCAACAGAGCAAGACCCTGTCTCTTAAAAAAAAAAAAAAAAAAAGAATGTTTTCAAAAAGAGTGAAGCAGAGTGATATTTGACACAGAGAAGTGGCAAAGTGACCACAGAGGTAGAAACCAGAGAGCTGTGGTCACAAGGAATGCTAACAGCTACCAGGAGTAGAAAGAAAATGGAATGGATTCTCCCCTGAAGCCTCCAGAGGGAGCATGGCCCTGCCCATACCTTGATTTTGGACTTCTGGCCTCCAGATCTGTGAGAGAATAAGTTCCTATTGTTTGGAGCCATCCACTTTGTGGTAATTTGTTATAGCAGCCACAGGAAGCTAAATATATTTGGTGTAGTGCTTGGGAAATGCTAGCATTCATTAATACAGGGAAGAATCCTGGTTATAAAATTTAACACCTCAGAAAAGAAAGCTATCAGTACAAGAAAGAATCTAAGTAGGCCGAGCTCAGTGGCTCAGCCTGTAATCCCAGGAATTTGGGAGGCTGAGGTGAGTGGATTGCCTGAGCCTGTGGGTTCAAGACCAGCCTGGGCAATTTGGCGAGACCTCATCTCTACAATTAAAAAAAAAATTAGCTGGGTGTGGTAGGCTGAGGTGGATGCTGGCTGGGGTGGCCATGAGTGTGCCACTGCCTTCCAGCCTGGACAATGGAGTGAGACTCCAATTCAAAAAAAAAAGAAAAGAAAAGAAAAGAAAAGAATCTAAGTAATCCATCCACAAATGTCTCCAATTGCAAGCCCAGAGTAAAAGCAGGCTCAGAATATTTATCAACATTGAACATATTAACAAGAAACAGCCTGATTCCAAATTTTAAACTGACCATAGTATACTGAGACACAAAGTTGAGCATCCTTCCTTCCCAGCTACTTTTATATGCTTATTCAAAATTGGTACCCAAATTATTGTGTAATATGAGCAACATCATGATACCACTCTTGTGGGTGATATATCTTTTTCCTATAAAGATGCTATTCACGTCTCCTCTTTGAGTTTGGGATAAAGCTAATAATACTATACATTCCCAGGCACAGTAAAAGGAAACTCTTCTTTCTACAGTTTACCTGGAACAGTTAAGGTGATAAGTCAGTCCCACTCAGGTGGAGAAGCTGAGGAGAACACGTCCTATAGTCTACTGATTACTCCAAAACTTGTCTTAAGAGCATGCGTGTGTGTGTTAGGGGGTACTGAGGCCCACCACTGTGATGGAATATCGAACACCTTCCCAGAGATAGCCCTCTATAGCCAACTCTACCATGACCACTCACAGGGCCTTTCTGCCTGCATGCAGGCATGATTTTCTCCTTGGTTCCCACAGAAACCAGTGGAAAGCATCCTTCTACTGCTTTCTTACAAGTGGAGGATGCCATTCTAGAAATCTTAAGGTGTCAGCAGGTCTGGATGAAGAAACTTAGCTAGAACAGAACAACCCTCACCTTCTCAATAGACATGGAACTTCAGAGACAACCAGGGGTCCTTTCTAGGAGGTATTTCTTTATTAAGAAAAAGGATCTGTGTTTGAATATACTTTCTTGATACATTAATTACCAAAAAAATCATAATTACAGCAGTGTGAGCCAATGTTGGAACATACATATTACCAATCATTATGTACACAAATGTAGTAGTCTTTGGACAATAGGAGCTAGCCATCAGGCTGGAGTGTACAAAGGTCCTGCATGTATGTGTTTTCCTATTGAAACCCAGGGCTTCATGCCAGCTGTGTCTACAGCTTCTACACCTGAGAGGTGCAATCAGTCAATACTGCTGTTTCTCTAAAGCTGTGATCTTTCAGGACCCTTCACTTCTGGTTTATCTCTCTAGCAAGCTCTGTGTACCTAGACAGCCAACCTAAGAAAACAATGGTAGGCAGTTTTTCAGGAAAAAAACATTCTGATGTTCCAACATAGATTAACAAAGGGCCAAGGTAAAAGTCTACTATGAGGGTAAGTTCCAAAGCACTGCAAGGTACCCTCTCAGCTTCCAAAACCAGTGAGCAAGCTTGGGGGTCTTCCTATGGCTTAGAAGCCCTATGGCCCCTGATTGCTACAGTCTCAGGAAATTCAGGGATGACCAGGAAATGGCACAGCACTGTCGTTTGAGCCACACGGGTTATCTAAGCTGAGTACACTTTGGTAAATCCCCAAAGGCCATTCATTGTTCTCAGTGCACACGAGTTTTCAACTCCAAGATTAGTTGAGAAATCGGAACCAAACAAACAAATAAATATAAAACCATAAAAACCACACATTGGCTAGAAATCAAACACTTTTTCAGTTGTTCTAAAGAGATTTTTGTGCATGTTGAATCCATCCTCCAGGATAAAGTGTTTTGAGTAAGCAGATCTGGACCATGTTGTTTTTATTCAAGACATTTGTCTTTTATTTAAAGTTATAATAAACAAGGACTATACAGCAGAGAAGAAAAAAACAAAATTTGTGTGATTTGAAACTAGAATTCTACGCGGGTCCAAACATTTTCATCCTGGAGGGAAATGACATGCTGAAGTGAAAATGACCTAAAACAAGTATCTAGTGTTATGGAAATTGCTGTAAGGAATCTGCTGGTAAGAAGGCTTCATTGGTGGTGGACTCTGTCTCTACTCTCAATGGACCAGGTTCGCTGATTCAGGGCCACGGAGAGACAGATACAGATTCCATCAACCATGCCATTCTTTCATGGTTCACAGTCCAAACCTCCAGCACCCAGAGGGGTGATGCGGGGGGGGGGGGGGGGGGGGGGGGAGGGTGTAGCTGGATGTGCCTTGGAACTCTTGACACAGCTCTTAGACCTGATGTGTCTTAATTTGCTCCACTCATGGGTGGTGGTCCAGACTGGAAGAATGGGGTATAGTGGCTTGATAAAAGTTTGGTTGGCAAATCATCTGTCTGAAACAACAGTAAAGCAGGACCTGGGATAAGATAAGGCTGGATCAACAAAAACCAAGTGGTCTAGCCTGGTTCGGACTAGCCCAGGATGCCCCATCTCAGGCCTTAGTCAGTGAGAGCTGAGAGGTCAGATGCCCTCTAGGGATGACCTGAGCCTGTGCCTCCACAAAGGTGAGTTTGTTCCTAGATCGCCTCAGAAATATATGGAGCCTGAGCCCCAAAGTATGCCAAAATGTCCCAGTCTCCCTACTGCTTCTCTAGACTGGACCAAGAAAAGATTCTTGGGTGAGACCAAACTTCCGAGATGGCCCTTAAATGAAGTGCAGGAACAGGCTCACATTTTAGTCCAACATTCACCCACATGGCAATTTTGGAGGGACTTTATTTAAAACAGATGGCCAGTCAGAGAAGTTCTCTGACAACACAGTTTGGGGAGCATGATTGCGACATCAAGTGAGCCTTATGACGGATAGGTTGGTGACTCAACCCTTCTAAAAGTAGAATGATCTTCATGAGAATTCTGCAACATCCCAAGGGGAGAAGGAAGAATTGACGAAAGCATTAGACAAAAACATATGAGTGCTTAAGGCATGAGCTTTGGTTACCTCAGACATGCCTCACAAGATACACTTAACCGTAACACAATCATTGGTGCATTTCCAGACCTTATTTTAGGCACAGTAAACTCGGCAATGGGATTTTTTTTTTTTTGAGTTGGATTCTCGCTCTGTCACCCAGACTGGAGTGCAGTGGCCGCTCCCGGCCACCGCAGCCTCGACCTGCTGGGCTCTGGCGAGCCTTCCGCCTCAGCCTTCCAAGTAGCTGGAACTACAGGCACGCGCTACCACGCCCGGCTAATTTTTTGATTTATTGTAGAGATGAAGTCTCGCCTGCCCAGGTGGGTCTCGAACCCATGGGCTCAGGAAATTCACTTACCTCAGCCTCCCAAAGGCGCGGGATTACAGGCTGAGCCACCGAGCCCAGCTTGGCTTTTTTTTTTAAATTGGAGTCTCACTCTGTCAGCCAGACTGGAGTGCAGTGGTACACTCATGGCCATTGCAGCATTGACCTGCTGGGCTCAGATAATCCTTCTGCCTCAGCCTTTCAAGTAGCTGGATCCACAGACATGTGCCACCACACCTAGCTAATTTTTAAATTTATTGTAGAGATGAGGTCTTGCCATGCTGCCCAGGCTGGTCTTGAGCTCATAGGTTCAGGCAATCCTCTTCCTCTGTCTCCTAAAGTGCTGGGATTAGCTGGGCTCGGTGGCTCAGCCTGTAATCCCACGCCTTTGGGAGGCCTGAGGTGAGTGGATTGCCTGAGCCCGCAGGTTCGAGACCCGCCTGGGCAACTTGGCAAGACATCATCTCTACAATAAAAATCAAAATGAGCCAGGTGTGATAGTGCACGCCTGTAGTTCCAGCTACTTGGAAGGCTGAGGCGGAAGGATCGCCGGAGCCCAGCAGGTCGAGGCTGCGGTGGCTGGGAGCGGCCACTGCACTCCAGTCTGGGTGACAGAGTGAGACTCCAACTCAAAAAACAAAACAAACAAACAAACAAAACCAAAAAAAACCCCAAAGTGCTGAGATTACAGACATGAGCCATCGTACCCAGCTGGCTAATTTTTTTTATTTACCGAGGTCTTGCCAAGTTGCCCAGGCTGGTCTTGAACCCTTGAACTCAGGCAATCCTCTCGCCTCCATCTCCCAGCCACCGCACCCAGCTGGCAATGGGTTTTAGTGTAGGAGAAAAGCAAAGATGACTCTTGTCTTCCACCCCAGTTCACTATTAGAAAACATCATATCTCTGAGCCTGGTCATTTTTGTGCAAGCACAAAACCTGACCTACCTCTCTCTGAAGATTGATATCTGCTCCTTGCAGAACCAGTTCCTTCACACAGTCTATGTGGCCAGCATAGGCAGCCACCATCAGGAGCGTGGTGCCGTGCTGGATGGAGGAGAGACAGACAGTTAGGCCATGGTGATGTCAGAGGGAGGGGTCCCGCAGAAGACGCTGCAGAGATGACAGTGCTACTCAGGACACATCAGAGGTGAACTTCCCTGCAGGGATCAAAGTGCCTCATGCATAGTGCAAACCAGACAGGAAGAAAGCAAAGTGAGAAATTGCTGAGGCTGGAATTGTCGATGTAAAAAATCACTTACTTCCATCACCTTCAGAAACACAGTCCCATGTAAACCATGGTTATTGCATTTTAAGGCAACAGCGATATCATGCTCTCATTTTGATCTCTGTTAAGTGATTTCTGAGCCAACGAATGACTACTAATGCAACAAAAATGGAGTTAAACAGCACCACTTGGTTTTCTGTATTTAACATCCTTTATCTTCAGAAGAGGAAGGGCACCATGATGAGATGAGAGGTTACAGAACTCAAGGCAGTTGTGGCCTCTGGCATCAGCCAACAGGTAACCTGGGTGAGTTGCTGACAATCACCATGACTCATTTACTTCCTTTGTAAAATGAGGGTTTGCATGGGATGATCGCCAGGTCTCAGCCTGAAGATTCAAGGACTTGAGACATACACGTGATATGGACCTTCCAGTGGAGGTGGATTTGGGCAGTTTAACTAGCGCTTGTTTTTAAAGGCTTGAAATTGTAATCTGAGCCATCACCTCTGTATATCCACCAACCTGCATCTCAAAGTGGATGATGAGAGAGACAGCTTTGCACATGAGGAAGCCTTATTTGTATAGGGTAATTAAGCGCATTTTAGAGGCTTCGAGGTATTTTCATCTATGGGATTTTGTAGGAAGGTGACAAGACTGAGTGGTCACGACAGTATGATCTTTCACACATTATATAATTTTCCTCCTCCTTTCTCTCATCTTCTTCTTCCTCCTCTTTTTTTTTTTTTCCTTCTTTGACAAGGTCTTGCTCTGTCACCTAGACTGGAGTGTAATGGTGCAATCAAAATTTACTGCAGCCTCAGACTCTAGAGCTCATACAATCCTCCTGCCTCAGTCTCCCAAGTAGGTGTGTGCCACCATGCCCAGCTAACTTTTTAATTTTTTGTAGAGACAAGGTCTTACTATGTTGTCCAGGCTGGTCTCAAGTGATCCTCCCACCTCAGTCTCCCAAAGTGCTGGAATTACAGGCATGAGCCATTGTACCCAGCACTCTACACTTTCAAAGTCTCATTCTCTTCATCTGGAATATGAGGGAATAATAAAAGTATCTGCCTGATTAAATTAGGAAATGAAATAAGTCAGGCAATGTGGTTAACATAGTCATGGTAGATATTAGTTCAGTAAGTGTTAGCTATTAAAATATTATGATAGTTCAGTAAATGTTAGGTTGTCATCTGGCTGTTGTTAACTTCTGTTAATGTCCATGTTAGTTTGGGAAAGTCTTGTTTGCTTTATATAAAAAGTGACCATGAAGTCAAGAAAAGCTGATGGCCCCATTGTAGTGCCCTATGCTATTATTGTACCCCATGTGTTTATACTTGACATCTGAATGTTAAGACCCTTATACAGGCTCTACCACCCCTTATTCAGTTGAATGCCTCCTTTGATATTCTCCAGGATTGGAATGGCAAGCTTAGTATTATTAAGTTCCTCTTTACTGTGAGAACTTTTTGTTTAGGTAGCAGATAGAAGAACACTTGGTGCTTATGGTCTGAATATATTTCTCCAAAATTCAAGTTGAAATCTAATCCCCATTGTAGTGGTATTAAGGGGCAGAGCCTTTAAGTTATGAGGGCTCTGCCTTCGTGATGGGATGAGTGCCCTTATAAAGAGGTTGAAGGGAGCTCCTTTCCCCCTTGATCTTGGATTTCCCAGTCTCTAGAACTATAAGTAATACATTTCTGTTGTTTATAAATTACCCAGTCTAAGACATTTTGTCATAGTGGCCCAAATGGACTAAGATACTTGGTTTAAAGCCAGTCTGACTAGATAAGTTGTGACTATATTCTTTTGAAGGAAAGATGAGGTCATACTCATCTCACAATAAAAATCAATCATGAGCCAGGGGAAGTACAAAGCACTTAATCTGGATATTTAAAAAAGAATGTAAAAAATGTTAGGCTCATCTGTTTTAAAGGAAAGATGAATTACATACACAATAAAAATATTTCTTCAAAGATTGTATTTCAATTCTACATCGTGGTCAACTGAGAAAAAGTCAGGTTAGGACAAAGGAGAAAAAGAAAGAATAAAGAAGTGCTATATCAAGCTACACAAAAATATTTTCTTTATTTTGAAAACCTATTAGCTTGATTGATTTTAATTCTCTAAAGATTAAGGTTACTTCATGCATTGATGTTAAAAATGTGTCTTTTTAAAACTACCTGGTTTTAAATAGCACATATCAATGTATACAAATATAGTGAAGTCCAAAACAAAAAAGAACAGTGAAATATGTACATGAATATAGCAAAAAAGGCTACAAGAAGCTTGCCAGCATATCCTTATGGTAAATGTGTGTCAAAGAAAAAGCAAAGCAACCAATGGAAAAACGTAACTCAAGATGAATGGGCATTTGGAAGTCAGAGCTTTGGTGTCTAGTGGATGGCCTAAAGATACAGTGTTACTTGTTGGAAAAGTCTGAACATGGCCATTGTACTTGAAGCTAAGAACATTCCTGGCCTGGGCTGGGTGGCTCAATTTGTAATCCCAGCACTTTGGAAGGCTGAGGCTAATGAATTGCCTGGGCCCACGGGTTTGAGACCAGCTTGGCCAACTTGGCAAGACCTTGTCTCTACAATAAATAAATAATTAGCTGGGCATGGTAGCGTGCACCTGCAGTCCCAGCTACTTGGAAGGCTGAGGCAGAAGGATCGCTGGAGCCCAGCAGGTCGATGCTGGGGTGGCCGTGAGTGTGCCATGGCACTCCAGCCTGGGTGACAGAGTGAGACTCCAACTCAAACAAAAAAAGTCCTGAGAAAGTTTGGTGGGACTCTCCTTGCATTTCAAAGGCCTCACAGGCTTCCTAGGTGACCCTGGGGCTCGGCCCCCTTCAGGAGGGCTACAGATAAATAAGCAAAGCCCCATGAGAAGCCTTCCTGGAACCTGGCCTCCCTGTTCAAGTGTCACGTGGAAGACAGACAGAAACTCAGCCAGTGACATTCCGAGGGGAACAAAGACCTGCACTGTCTCCAGACATCTTCCTGCCACTCAGTCACCACCAGCCTTAGAGGTCTTTCGAAATAAACGAGATATCTGAAATCATCATCATTTAGACATTCCTTTGGGTTAAGGACATATCTTTCCAGAAAGCTCCTGAGAAAATGACTTTTTGTTTTAAACAAAGAGGTTTAATCTATAAATATATGTATCTATTCATGGAAGCAACATTTGGTTAAAATATTACCAGTCACCCAGCAGCCGGGACAGGGTCTGAGCTCTGAGGGACAGGAGGTGGGAGGACAGATGACTCTGGATGTGGAAAGGGCACTCACTGAACAAGTGGAGAGTCTGGGGAGCAGAATGTGTGTGGCTCTGTGGAGTGGCCTTGAGAACCTGGGAACCAGGAGGAGTCCTAGGGGAGTCTGAAAAGGGGTGGCTTCAAGAAAAAGTCAAAATGTGGTCATCAAGGCGGTCCGTGGGTGACGTCACAATAACAGCCAGTGCTCCTATCCCATGCAGTGAGACCTGGGTCAGACCGGGATGCCCAAGACCCCACATCAGCCTGGGTTCTGACAAGAAACAGATGGTACATTCAAACCGGAATCATTGGAAGAAAGTTTAATAAAGAGACTATTTATAAAGCTGTGGCCTGGGCACAGGGAAACTACAAAGGACAGCGCAGTACTGGTAGCAAGGAACAGTGGAGCCCTGTGGCCAGCCATGGCCTGAAGGTGCCAGGGGAAGATAATTGCTCCCAGGAGGCAGAGAGTGGGTGCGCTGCTGATGGATGGAGCAGGGAAGACACTGGCTCCCTGATGTCCCTCTCCTCCCACTCTCTGACTCCTGCTGAGGCTCTCATGGGCCAAACCCAACTGGGGGTGAGAGGGAAGCAAATCTGCTGGGGAAGTCCATACAATTCTGACTCTCTTTTTGGTGTTGAGTCAGGATCTCACTCTGTCACCCAGGCTGAAGTGCAGTGGCACAATCACGGCTCACCACAGCCTCCACCTCCTGGGCCCAGGTGATCCTCCCATCTCAGCCGCCCACATAGCTGGACTACAGATGCATGCCACCATGTCCAGCTAATTCTTCTGATTTTTTTTTTTTTTGTAGAGATGAGGGCTCACTCTGTTGCCCAGGCTGGTCTCTAACTCCTGAGCTCAAGCAATCCTCTCACCTTTTCCTCCCAAAGTGCTGGGATTACAGGTGTGAGCCACCCCGCCCGGTGGCTCTGAGATGTGGAGTGAGAAGGGTGTGGAGTGGGTCTGGAGGCACAAACTAAAGATATTTTGGTCCCAATGCCCCAGTGAGCAAGCTGGAGCAAACTATTTCACTCTTGGGCCAGTGGCAGAATTCATTCACCAAATTTGTGCAATAAAAACTGGAAATGACATAACCTGCTTTCAGGAAAATAATAAGGCTCCTTTGGAAACATTTTTATTCAAATCCTAAAATCAAAACATCTCTGCTTGCTCCCTCTCCTCATCTGAGTTCCTCCCTAGACCCTGGAAATGTGAAGTCCTGCTCAGGACAGAGAAATGATCGCCTCCAACTGGGGAGGGCAAGGGCTAAGTGGTGCCTGCAGTGGGCAGTCACATCTCTCTTTATTTTCCCTCCTACACTGCCAAGTAGCGTCTTAATGTTTGCAAAAAGGTAATGAAAGAGTAAAAGGCTGGGGGAGGCGTCAGTTTCCGTTTTCTCATTCTTGTAGAGAAAACACAATTCTATACCCATAGTAGTCCACTGAGGCTTGAAATTATCTCTGTCTTTTCACGAAAGCAGTTGTCTTGAATTCTTTCATTAAACAGTCTTTTCTTCTTTTTTTAAATTTTAAAATGATTTTTTTTTTAGTTGGAGTCTCACTCTGTCGCCCAGACTGGAGTGCAGTGGCCGCTCTCGGCCACCGCAGCCTCGACCTGCTGGGCTCCGGCGATCCTTCCGCCTCAGCCTTCCAAGCAGCCGGAACTACAGGTATGCGCTACCACACCTGGCTAGTTTTTGATTTATTGTAGAGATGAGGTCTCACCAAGTTGCCTGGGCAAATCTTGAACCTGCGGGCTCAGGCAATCCACTCACCTCAGCCTCCCAAAGTGCTGGGATTACAGGCTGATCCACCGAGCCTGGCCTAAAATGATTTTTTTTAAGTTGGCATCTCACTCTGTTGCCCAGGCTGGAATTCAGTGGCACAATCACGACCATCAAGGCTCACTGCAGCCTCGACCTCCTGGGCTCAGGTGATCTTTCCATCTCAGCCTCCCGAGTCGCTGGGACTTCAGGTGCGTGCCACCATGCCTGGCTAATTTTTAAAATTTTTTTTGTAGAGATGAGGTCTCACTATGCTGCCTAGGTTGGTCTCAAACTCCTGGGTTCAAGCAGTCCTCTCCTATAAGCCTCCCAAAGTGCTGGGATTACAGGCATGAGCCACTGTGCCCGGCTAGCCTTTCCTTCTTGTACATGCCAATTCTGATTTCCAGTGAAGTGCCCCTTTCTCTATTGTGGCTGCCTTCTGTTTTGTGTGTGTAATTGCTTCCTTTCCTTTCTAACTTCCTCCGGTATGTTTTTAAATTCACCACAGTACTTTGGGTGTTTTTGAATAGCCTAAAGCAAGCAAACATATGAACCGGTAAACAAGCAGTGCAAAGGGAAATGCATGTGCGAAGTGCTCTTGCGCACACAGTGGGATAGGGTGTGCTCTGGGCATGCGTATACCGAATGCATCGTACACTGTCTCTGCAGTCCACGTCCACCCGGCCGCTGTTCAGTAACAGCTTCAGCAGTGCCAGGTTTCCTCTCCTGGCCGCCCAGAATGCGGCGTTGGCAAGTGGGGTTTCCTTCTGTAAGAACAAAATGAAACAGGACCTTAAAATCAACATCACTTAACATGACCACTTCTGCGTTGATAGTAGCCAGTCAAAAGGGAGAATTTCCAGTTGTGTCATATTATTTGAAAGATTGTTCCCCCAGCAATAGAAGGCTGTAATATATTTGGCCATAGACTCTGATACCAGCTGGACATGGTGGCTCATGCCTGTATTCTCAGCACTTTGGGAGGCCAAGGCAGGAGGATTGCTTGAGTCTAGGAGTTTGAGACCAGCCTAGGTGATATAGCAATACCTCATCTCCAGGAAAAAAAAGTAGCTAGGTATGGGGGCATGAACCTGCAGTCCCAGTTACTTGGGAGGCTGAGGCAGAAGGATGTCCTGAGCCCAGGAGGTCAAGGCTGCGGTGAGCCATAACCATGCCACCATGCCACTGCACTCCAGCCTGGGTGACAGAATGAGACTCCACCCCTCCACAAAAAAAAAAGTAAACTCTGATGATATCAGACACCTGAGTCACATGTGGTTATGAAGGGCAATGTTGTTGGTAACTCAGTGCTATGAATAACCTGTTTTCCATGAATATCCTCATTTTCCTGCCTGTGCTGTGTCTTTGTTCACAGTTTCCTTTTTGCTTGAAATGAACTTTCCCCCATGCTTTAAGGCCAAGGCTCTGCTCAAATGCTATTTCCTCCCTGAAACATTCCAAATCTCTTTTCACCCCTAAGAGAAGCAACATTCCTCCCAATTCTGACCTCCCAAGGTGGCTTACCCACCTGTTATCTCTGCCCTCAATGCTTTCTAGCTCATTCCAACTATCTGGGTAGATGCCTCTCTCTCCCTCCACCGAATTTTCTTTGCTTCAGCTGGAACTTGCCAGAGGTTTGAGTTGAGAACCACAGACGTGGGGCAGAGAATGCCATGACGTGTCCTCGCAGGGAGTCTTCACTCCACTGCTGGGTCATTTTTAAGCTGTAAAGTTGATGTTGGGACCATGGCTACAGAAGGCTTGGAAGTGGAAAACAGGCCTTCCAAATGAGTGGCAGGGCTGGCTGCAGTATGATTCCCTTTACCGAAACAAATGGATTTGGATTTGTAGACAGCAGGCTGTTAGAGGGAGGGCCTGACCCTGAGACCAGACAGCTCTGGGTTCCAAACCAGCCTGGGCAGGTGACTTGGCCCTTGGGAGTCTCAGTTTCCTCTCACTTAGGTGGAGGTCACAGTGCCTGCCTGGAAGTTTACAGTAAGGATGAAAGGATGTAGATTAATTGCCTCATACAGTGTTCAACACAGCAGAAATGCTGACAAGTGCTAGCTACCTTTCCTCTGTCTACTTTTCTTTACCAATTCAGAATCAACAGGCAAAACTGAATTCTGAGTATTGGCTGGTCTCAGGGAATTTTAGAGTGTTCACATTGTTTAATGAAGGCATGTTTTGGGGTGGGTTTAAAATACCTATCTGGCCTAAAAGGTCTTTTATGTAATACGTATTTTATTTTTTTGAGTCAGTGTCCCACTCTGTCACCCAGGCTGGAGAGCAGGGGCACGATCTTGACTCACTGCAGTCTCAACCTCCTAGGCTCAGATGATCCTCCTGCCTCAGCCTCCTGAGTAGCTGGGCCTACTGGCATGCTCATCATCATGCCCAGTTAATTTAAAAAAATTTTTCCCTAGAGACAAGGTCTTCCCATGCTGCCCAGGCTGGTCTTGAACTCCTAGGCTCAAGTGATCCTCCTGCTTCAGCCTCCCAAAGTGCTGGGATTACAGGCATCAGTCATTGTGTCTGGCTTATTTTATTTTTACTTTTTGTACAGACGAGGTCTCTTTATGTTGTCCAGGCTGGCCCTGAACTCCTGGCCTCAAGTGATCCTCCTGCCTTGGCCTCCCAAAGTGCTGGATGACAGGCACAAGCCACAACAATATGTTGCTACTGTATTACATATACTTAGCTTCGCAAAGTTAAAAATAAAGCATCAACAATTGTAGCTACTCAATGGAGCCATCTAAAATGAAAGAAGGTGACAGAAGTGTAACAATAACATTTGTTGGTGTGAGGATTTCCTTTCAGAAGTCCTTGGCACACACACAAACTTGTGCTCTTGTACATACCTGGATGGGAGAAAAGCAAAGCAAGGACTGAGGAGTAGGTAACAGACATACTTGGAATAGTTTTCTGGATTACTTAGGAGGAAAAAAAAATCAGTTCGAATTCCAGATGAAAAATGTGCCTTCTCTGAAGGTGTAAATTTACTGTCCTGCAGGTTTCAAGGCAAACTGCGGCCATGGTATTCGCACCAGTGTTGCTGCTTGGACTTCAGGCTGGGCCTCCCCTGTTGCAGCTCTTAGTAAATGGGCAAAGCAATGGCAAGGTGGGTTTGGCCCATGTAAGAAATCGTGAAACAATGCCTTTGTCACAGAGTTTGCACAAAAGTCTGGGAAGGTGAGTCAGGAAGAGAATTTAATAGGCACCAGGGAATATTTAATAGGCATCAGGCTTTTCCTGAAACCTAAACACATGAGAGTGATACATTTTAACTCGTTTTCAGTGACTTTGTCATTTCACTTTAACCTCAAACACCTTCAAAAAATCCATTGCAAACGGCAAGCATCTCTGCTCATAACAAACTCTCTAGCTAGGCTCTCTTCTTCCTTTAGGGTGGTCTTGGGGATGCCCCTCCTGCTGGGCTGGACATCCTGGTTTCCTATAAGGTTCTAGAAACTGAGTTTTGTGAAAAGCTATAGATATTTCATTCTTCCTCAAGGGCTTGATTGACTTAGAGATGGAGGTATGCAGAGTTGTTGATTTGGGGGTAAAAACGAGCTGAGTTAAAGTCCTTCATAGCTCTGCAACCCTAGGCAAGTTATTTAATAATAATATAGTACCTTTGCTGGCCATGGTGGCTCATGCCTATAATCCCAGCACTTTGGGAGGTGGAGGCAGGAAAGAGGAGTGCCTGAACCCAGGGGTTCAAGACCAGCTTGGGCCACTTGGCGAGAATGCATCTCTACACTAAATTAAAAAATTAGTCGGGCATGGTGGCTTGCGCCTTTAGTTCCAGCTACTTGGAAGACTGAGGTGGAAGGATCACCTGAGCCCAGCAAGTTGAGGCTGGGGTGGCCCTGAGTGTGCCTGGGTGGCAGAGTGAGACCCTCACTCAAAAAACAAATGAACAAACAAAATAGTATCCCTGTTATGCATTGTTGGAGGATTCCATGAGATAAGACACATAAAACTGTTAAATAGTACACACTCAAGAAATGGTAGCCAGGCTGCGTACAGTGGCTCACGCCACTAATTCTAGCACTTTGGGAGGTCAAAGTGGGAGGATCACTTGAGGCCAGGAATTCAAGAACAGCCTAAGTAATAGCAAAAACCTGCCTCTACCAAGAATTTTAAAATTTGCCAGGTGAGCATCTGTAGTCCTAGCTACTCAGGAGGCTGAGGCAAGAGGATCACTTGGGCCTAGGAGATTGAGGCTGCCATGAACTGTGATCATGCCACTGTACTCCAGCCTGGGTGACAGTTAGACCCTGTCTGAAACAAATAAACATACAAAAAAAAAAAAAGAAAAAGAAAGAAAGTAAAGAAAGGAAATGTTAGCCAGAAATGCACAGCCCCCCAGCTCTTTAAAATACCTGTCCATGAGGTGTGACCACCAACCCCGGCAGATTCCCACCACTGCCAATCCTGCACGTCTCATCAACAAGGGTACCTGCATAATGAACATTTGTATACCTAACCCTGAATTGTACCCTACATCTTTAAAAAAAAAAACCCACACAAAAAAGAGATAAAAATAATAAAATACCTGTCCAAGGAAATTCATTTACGTGGTAACTAGCACGTGCCAGGGGCAGTGGTAAATGCCAGGGGTTAGGACTAAAGTTATGAGTCAACTTTGGTCTCTGCCTACAATGGCTTTATGGCCTAATTGGAAAATCCGTCATGTCTATAGGCTTCACAAGTCAGTATAGGTGCCAGTGTAGGAATGCAGCTGCTTGTGATGAGAATACAACCAGAGAGGTCACTTCTACCTGAGTAGGGCGGCCAGGATGGGTTTTGGAGGAAAGGAATTCTTGACATGAGTTTTGAAAGATGGGGGGGGGTGACTGGGTGCACAAGGGGTGATGAGTATCTTAGGCAGAGGATGGTGAAGCAAAGACCTGGAGGCTTGTCATAGCATTCTGGGAAGGTCCCTAGCTCAGCAGGGCAGCAGTGAAGGTTATGAGGGAGAGAGGAAAGAGCTGGGGGAGGGCAGGTGCTCAGGCTGGATTCTGGTGGCTCTGGTGTTTGTGCCACAGAGGTTGGACTTCATCCTGGTGGGCACCAGAGTCAGGGAAGTGTTTCAAGGTGGGGAGACACTATCTATTTTGCATTTCAGAAAGGTGCCAGGGGGAGCCTCAAGGAGAATGGACTAGGGCCAGAATGAGATTGGTATCTACAACTGGTCAAGAGATCACAAGGACCTGAGCTGAGGCAGCGTCAGTGGGAGTGGGAGGAAGGGACAGACCGATGTCATTTTAAGGAGCAAAAAGGAAAAGTCTGGGCCTGCAGCTGTACATGTAGGGGAGGAGGGAAAAGGGAGTATGGACTGACTCTCCTGAGTTTCTGGTTCACTGCCTGGCTGGTGATGGTGCCATTCACGAAAGTCGGAAACACTGTACAGAGAACAGGTTTGGGAAAAAAAATCAGTAGTTCTGCTATGAATGTGCTGAGTTTCAAGAGCCTATGAGACATCTAGGTGGACATGTCTAGCACAGAAATGGGTACGTTCTCCTATCACACCATGGCTGGCACATTTATCAGAAGTCAGGAATCTTTTTAAAATAATTTATTTTTATTTATTTATTTTTTAAAGTGAATAAGCAGGATTTATTGAGAGGACAGAAAAGCTCCTGTGGTGGGAGGGGACCCGGAGGGGACCCGAAGGGGTTGCCCCTACTTTTATTTTTGAATAGAGATAGGGTCTTGCTATGTTTCCCAGGTAGATAGGGTCTCGCTATGTTGCCCAGGC